CCGCAGGAACTTTTCTCATTTACCCAGGATTTTGAAAAACCTCAGCGCATTTCCACCAAAATTACCCAGGTAAAAAACTTTCCCTCAACCCCAAATTTTCCCTGAAAAAAGTATCTAGTAGGTGGTTAGGACTTTTCAGATTACCCTGAGTTCTTGAGGGGTGGGGCTGTGTGCTGAAGAACGCTGCGTTCCGCACTTCCGTGTCAGTGTGTCTGCCACTGCAGACTTTATTTCATTTCTACAAGCTTCACTTCATTTGCGTTTTGATTAAGGATGGGTACCGAAACCCGGTACTAAGTTAGCCCCAGGGCTAAATTGTCAAAGACCGTAGTATTGATAAGCGCTAACCGTATCGGTTCTCCTCTGCGCTCTGTGCCAGCACTGATCTCCTCCACATCCACACTCACACACGCCGACGCAAAACGGTAACCAGTGAACAGCCGAGTGGCCACGGTGGAAACAAAGTGAAGATTACTCAAAAATGACTCGAGTTGACCACAGCTACACTCGTCACTGTAAGTGACATTAAACCTTAGCGAGTAAGAAGCCAATACTTTATCAATACATGTGTTCAGAGAGCATGAACATGTAAACATGTAGACAGTGATATTCAATATGCTCCATCCACAGTCTCTCATCCACCGTCACTAACGTTATGTCTTACGCAAGGACAGTATGATAGTTGAGCTGATAACGAATTGTTACTAATAAGCTCAAATGACAGCTGTCTGTATGGAGACTAACTTAGTTTGACACTTATCTTAAAATACTTTTAAACTTTTTTCCTTTTTTCCTTTTTTCCTGGTAATAAAAGTTCCTGGAAATGTTGGTGGAAAAGGGGCTATTGTGGTACAATAGGTAGTAAGTATGTATTGTGTTTATAGTCTCAAGTGAAAGGAAAACCTAAAGCATCACTGGTGCACTCTGGGGGCTAGAGTCTATCCCAGCTGACATTGGTCGAGAGGAGGGGTACACCCTGGACAGGTCGCCAGACTATCACAGGGCTGACACATAAGCCCTGTTATGTGTGTTCTACAAAATAGAACAGGCTGCAGTGAGAGTCTCTCTCCATGAGATATTTAGAAATAGCAGCTTTGTGCATTTAGTCCCTCTCAGACAAGCTCGGGGTTTAGTGTCGTGTTGGCCTGACGCTACGCGACCCTTTTCTTTTCTCCAAGTGAGGATTAGCTATATATATATGCCTGGAGATCCACTCATTACTAAAAGTGTATGTCATATAAAAACTAAAGTGATGGTCAAAGTTATAATATAGAATATTTGAGGTGTGTTGATTGAGTCACGTCGTCAGCTCGTGCATTGAGTAACATTACAAGTTAATGCTCCACCTTAAAAATCTCAGCAGTCGGTCCAGTGAATGAAGTTATTTTTTTCCCACTCCGGCTGCTGCAAGAGGCAGCAAAACATCCTTTCATTGTATGTTTACAGTTTACTAATTGAACTCTCCACGATATGAACAGTGGCTTCTCCCTGATAACCAGCCACAGCTTAGCCCTGAGCAGAATGACCATTTGCTACTGACCAGTCAACAGACTGCAGTGTTCACAGCTCCACCATTTGGTACCAGATCTGTGTGCTAGGTACCCCAACAGAAGGGGTACCAAAAATGGTAACGGTTAGGAACAGTTCCATCGGTACTATCCACAACTTTTCAGCAGTGGAAACGGAAAAAAAGAGTACCGAACTGAACCGCACCTACCATACTGCCTGGTGGAAACTGGGCTATAGAGACAGACACCCATTCATGCTCACATTCACACCTACGGGCAATTTGGAGTCACCAGTTAATATAACCTGCATCTCTTTGGACTGTGGGAGGAAGCCAGAGAAAACCCATGCTAACATGGGGAGAAAATGCAAATGCAAACTCCACTCAAACACAACTCCCCTCTCTTGTCAAGTACTAATACAACTATAGCATGTGAGCTTAACAACTTCTGTGCTCGCTTTAAAACCATTGGTAGTCAGTGAGCAAAAGCAGCTAATGCAGAGGTTAATGGATGGGTGGGTGCACCCTTCACACCTGTTTCCCTTCCTGATGTCAGGACTTTCAAGCGTGTGAACACCAAGAAAACATCCAGACCAGATGATATCAATGTGGTCCTCAAACTATGCACTGGCCAACTGGCTGGTGTTCACAGAGATATTAAACCTGTCACTGGGTCAGTCTTCTATACTCACATGCTTCAAGAGGTCCACCATCATTCCTGTGCCCTAAAAAACAAAACCAACTTGTCTGAATGACGACCGCCCAGTGGCTGTCACCTCTGTAGTGATAAAGTGATGCTCCTTACCAGCCAGCACACTGGACCCATCACAGTTTACATACCGTCCCAACCGATCTACAGAAAACACCATAGAATACAGCCTCCACATCTGCTTAATATATTTATTTATTATTTATTAAACTGTTTATTATCAGCTTATGGTCAGTGTTTTAAACCATAGTTCCCTCCACTGGTCACAAAGCGCATAGAGCTAGGATTCAACACCTCACTGTACATGTGGATCCATGACCTTCTGACAGGAAGACCCCAGGTGGTCAGAGTGGTCGGACTCACCTCTCTACTCCCTGTAAACACACAACTGTGTAGCTATTTCAGGCTCCAAGAGGATTCCGTCTGTCTTTGACACTTGCACTACTGTCTGTTCAAATGAATGAAAATAAATGTATCTTTTTTTCCCCCGCTCTACCAAACTCAAACCAAACCGATCCGTTATGTCTGTTGGGATTCACAGAACCAGAGATGATTTTTCATTTGGTAAAATCTAAACTGGACATTTAAAGGCTTCCTTCTCTGCATGCTCTTTGTTCTCCAAACAAAGACAGCTATTTGACACCCATCTCCAGGATGTCTCACCTCACACCTCAGTGAGACACAAGTCTCACAACTTGATTGGACAGGACTTTTGCAGTGACATGTGACTCTGTGATGTCACAGGCATTGTAGAAGGTCTGCTCCCTTCAGACAGTCCCCTCTCTTACTCGGGAACTGCGGAGCAGCCCACACCTCTTTCCGGCTGGGCCTGGACCAGCCCAGATGCTCAGACCTTTGCTCCTTGCTCTGAACCATCAAAGGTGGGGCAATTGCTCAGAGACTCTCTTTTTCCTGGACCACGACTTGCCCACGCTCAAGGCTGAGGCAAACCTGAACCAGAGAAGTTAGACTTGCAAGCACAAGGTTTGCACCTTGCAACCTCGAGCGACCAGCTTCCTCAGAGTTCCACCTTTGGAACAAAGGACAAACCAAGATTGCATCTGGAACCACAGCTCTTTCTGTCCTTCTTCCACCGGCTAACAAAGCAGCACACCACCAAGTGACTCTTCCATCCACTCAAGGATTGGTAACCTAACAACTGGGCATAGCTTTATCACAGTTTTACAGGCTAAGCAAGACTGTTTAACATGTTGTATGTGATTTAATGCTATTTGAGTATTTGTCGTGATTGTTTGCAGTTAGGTCATTGATTAGGTCAAGTGTTTAGTTTGCTAATACTGTTCACAAACAGATTCTTGCACACAACTAAACAATCTCTGCACTAATCCAGACTGTTTGCAGCACAAATCACATTCACATAGACTCATTAACAAATAGGCTTTCAACAGAGCTACACCCAAACAGGCATCTCAAAGTTCCTGCTTCTTTTCCTTTGTCTTTGTCCTGACCACACGGTCAGAAAAACACCTCCCCCAATCTGAAGCCAGCTTTGACTTGGCCATCTTGTAGTTCTCTGAGCTCTTTGATCACCACAACCGCCTCTCTCTCTCTCTCCCACGCGCACGCACACACACACACACACACACACACACACACACACCAAGCTTGTATATAGTTAGTTAGAATTTGTGTGTTATGGTTTTGCTTTGCTTAGTTTGTGAATAAATATAATTCTTTGGAATCATACCTGCTGTCTGTTTAATGTTGCACAAGAGTGAATGAATAGTCAACCTCTGCTGCGTCAAGAACTCTGAAATCCTTCAGGCTTTACTGTTAATTTTGGTTATTGTCATTAATTTAATTATTAATCAAAACTCCAAATTAATAGTTTAGCATATGGGATGTAGGTGGCTTAGTGGTAGAGCAGGCGCCCCATGTACAAGGCTGTTGCCGCAGCGGCCTAGGTTCGACTCCAGCTTGTGGCCATTTGCAACATGTCACTTCCCCTCTCTCTCCCCCTTTCATGCTTGTCTGTCCTGTCCATTAAAGGCTAAAAATGCCCCAAAAAACACCTTAAAAAAAAAAAAAATAGTTTAGCATATTTTATGAGACTGATATCTTTAACTGGCTATCATTTTCCCTTTACGGGAATGGTGCCCCACGAGGTGATTTAATGTTAATTAAGTAACATAATTATTAATTATTATTAATAATTATTAATTATTTCCGCTAGCCAATTTACCCCAACATATTTGGTGCCTCCATGTGAAGCCTAAAATGTATGTTCACAACATAATTGGTGCAGCCGTGTGAGACCTAATATGTTGATCACTACATATTTGGTGCTCCGTGTGAAGCCCGAATTTAAATCCCTACATGTCTGTGAACCCTACACCACTATTAAGAAATTACCAATGCATATGGGAATTAACAACAAAGGTAACACTTACGATGTATTATTGTAGCACCAGAACATTTGGTAAAAAATAAATAAAAAATAGGCACACCTATATTATGTGTTGCTGCACCTAAATGAAAATGTTGGGCGCACCAGTGCAACTTATGTAAAAAGTTCTTTTAGAGCCCTGTCAAAAAACTATATAGGCCTCACTTGTCTCTTCTTGTGTTTGCTTTGCCAGTCACCATTCTCAAACCTGAATTTGATCAATAAGGACAAATCCACACACATTTTAAATGAATAACTTGCCTGGTGCAGCTTTAAATGCATACATGTAATACCCAAGGTGATATTCATTTTTGCTTTTGCTTTGTTTAACTCTTGTAGTCCTTGAGTACATGACCTTGTCTTCCACTCTTGCACAGGACATCTCTATCTGCCGAACAGTCACACCCTCAGCAGCTATGGGTATCATAGCTCCACGAGACTTTGTAGATGTTATTTTAGTTAAGCAATACGAAGATGGCACCATCTCATCAAATGGTGCGTAACAACTCATTCTTGTCTCCTACTTCATGTTCTTCTTTCTCTTGTACTTTCTAAGATTCACTGTGACACAGTAGGGCCTGGACTGTTTGTACTCTTTTCAGTGATTTGGATGTAAGATTGAACTATGCTGCAGCTGTGAACAGACTAAATAGATTAATTGTCACACATTATTAACAGATTTCCTTTTTTTCCATGCTTGATTGGTTTGCTGCCCCACAACAAAAGACGAGTGCAGATTTGACTTCAGTCAAATAAGTCTGAAAAAAATTGGATCAAAGAGATTAATAGGAACTCAGAAATTTAATCTGCATTTCCGCTGCAGGAACCTGGTTAAAACTGTAGTCTCCCAGAAAATCCAAGCCCTAAGATACACAGTGATGTTGATAGGTTTTTAATGTATTGAGTTTTCAATGTAGTGAGTCCCATTTGAATGGGTCCCATGGATTCTTTTGACAAATTGTAGCATTAAACTCGTGTTTGATGTTCTGTGGTTATGATTGTGGTTATATTTGTGTTGATAATGTATCTGAAAATTAAACGAATAAAATGTGTCACATAGCTGTGAAATATGTCACTAGTGTGACATACAACATATGTGCTGGTACTGCTTTATAAACAATAACAATGACATAACATGTCAATAACTATAATTTACCATCCCTTTTATATGGCGACTGATTTTGTCCTCTCCTGGGAGGGTAAGGAGCTGCTGGACCTCATTCTTTTCCCAATTTACAGACATTTTCAGCTGCTGTTGTTCTTCTTTGAGTTAGCTAACTGCTGCAAGCTGCTTTTTAAATCTCTCACATCTCTCTTACACACATAATTTGTCATCAAAACATCAACACTGATTTGGTGCTGTCACTACCTCTGCTGCTAGATTAAAAGCAAGAAAACCCTCTCCCACGATTCCGCAATAGTACTTTTTATATAGAACAGCAAGGCAGCCTAACGATGTAACATTCCCACCTTGAAGATGCAGTATAAAAGGGGCTTGTCAGCATCTGTTGACATATACTTTCATTGTGACTTCTGCATTTGTTGTGGCTTCTGCATATTTTTTGTTGCTTTTGCATTTGTGTTTAATGCACTTGCATTTTTCAAATTTGCATTGCTTTTTGGATATGCAGTTCATTTGAACCACCTTGGCTACCGTAGACATGGGCCTGTCACAGATATATTTGTATCAGCGTATGTCTTTTCATAAGAGAAGTCAGTCAGTCAATACCAAATTTGGTATACAGCCTTGTGGGAGAGAAATAGACATCTCTATTATCAATAGGTAAGATCGGTCAAAAACTATGGCCACCATCAATGAAAAACACATCACCAAGTGCAGGCTAAGCAAGAAATAGGCCATAACTGAAGTTGTCATGAACAAATACAAATCATGATGTCTCTGTACAACTCTATATTTTAGTGACTGTGCTCACATGATTAAGAGCCAACGTTGTACAGACAGAAATATAGCCCTTTGAATGATCAATATAATGTAGACAAATGTGCACGTTTTTTGTGTCATATCAAACAGCCACCAATGTGAGTCATCCTTGCTGTCCTCCCCAGTCTGGCTATGTGAGAGGATTCAACCATCCATGTGGTTGCATCTGTGTTCCCATCTCAGGGTGAGTATACTAAGACATAAACACACATTAAACAAGTACAGTGTGTGTTTGTAGAGGATATTCTGGCCAGGGTTCAAGTCCATCTTCATTGTAGTACTTGCCTTTCTTTTTTGTATTGCATTTTCTCTTGTGTGTTTCTTCCAGAGAGCCCAACAAAACCCAGGTGTTGAGCTTCTTCCAAACAGACCTGGGTGGCTTCCTCCCTCGCTCTGTGGTTGACTCGTTCTTCCCTTCAAGCATGGCTGAGTTCTACAGCAATCTTGCTAACGCTGTTAAATCCCTCAAGCCCCTTTGACACCCAGAGTTAAGAAATCTACCTCAAGACCCAAGGCCTACTATTTGGTCAGGCTAATTGTTCATTCCACATTAGCAGTCCAAACTTAACAGCCATCAGCACACTGAGATCATTAAACTGTTGTGTATTTTAAATAGATCCAATCCACAGTTTATCTTTAGTGTACTGTACATTTGTATATTCCTGTGTTACTGTCAGAGGACTCCAGTAAATCTTTAGCAGTCAACCACTTATTTAACAGCAGTTTACACATTAAGAATTCCCAAAATAAGAATGACGTCTTGCAGTTGACAAAACCTGCATTTCAAACTCCAGTTTCTGTACATCCATCTCTGGGATAAATTATTTTTTCTCCAACCTAAAGAATGAAAATAGATGTCAAATCTATATTTGTTCATGTGCTAAAAGTACACAACATCGTTACTTTTTGTCACTATGATGAAACATGTTTCCTCTTCATGTAAGCGCATACTTCAGTTTGTACAGGGCATGTTGCATGGACCCTTATTTACCCCATGCTGGTATCCGGTTGTTGTTCCTGAGTACACACTCATACCACGTGTGTGTGTGTGTGTGTGTGTGTGTGTGTGTGTGTGTGTGTGTTTTAGTTAAACTGCCATTTGCTCATCTCCAGCTACCTGTAAACCATAAATATACAGTACAGGCCAAAAGTTTGGACACACCTTCTCATTCAATGCGTTTTCTTTATTTTCATGACTATTTACATTGTAGATTCTCACTGAAGGCATCAAAACTATGAATGAACACATGTGGAGTTATGTACTTAACAAAAAAAGGTGAAATAACTGAAAACATGTTTTATATTCTAGTTTCTTCAAAATAGCCACCCTTTGCTCTGATTACTGCTTTGCACACTCTTGGCATTCTCTCCATGAGCTTCAAGAGGTAGTCACCTGAAATGGTTTTCCAACAGTCTTGAAGGAGTTCCCAGAGGTGTTTAGCACTTGTTGGCCCCTTTGCCTTCACTCTGCAGTCCAGCTCACCCCAAACCATCTCGATTGGGTTCAGGTGCGGTGACTGTGGAGGCCAGGTCATCTGCCGCAGCACTCCATCACTCTCCTTCTTGGTCAAATAGCCCTTACACAGCCTGGAGGTGTGTTTGGGGTCATTGTCCTGTTGAAAAATAAATGATGGTCCAACTAAACGCAAACCGGATGGGATGGCATGTCGCTGCAGGATGCTGTGGTAGCCATGCTGGTTGAGTGTGCCTTCAATTTTGAATAAATCCCCAACAGTGTCACCAGCAAAACACCCCCACACCATCACACCTCCTCCTCCATGCTTCACAGTGGGAACCAGGCATGTGGAATCCATCCGTTCACCTTTTCTGCGTCTCACAAAGACACGGCGGTTGGAACCAAAGATCTCAAATTTGGACTCATCAGACCAAAGCACAGATTTCCACTGGTCTAATGTCCATTCCTTGTGTTTCTTGGCCCAAACAAATCTCTTCTGCTTGTTGCCTCTCCTTAGCAGTGATTTCCTAGCAGCTATTTGACCATGAAGGCCTGATTCGCGCAGTCTCCTCTTAACAGTTGTTCTAGAGATGGGTCTGCTGCTAGAACTCTGTGTGGCATTCATCTGGTCTCTGATCTGAGCTGCTGTTAACTTGCGATTTCTGAGGCTGGTGACTCGGATGAACTTATCCTCAGAAGCAGAGGTGACTCTTGGTCTTCCTTTCCTGGGTTGGTCCTCATGTGTGCCAGTTTCGTTGTAGCGCTTGATGGTTTTTGCGACTCCACTTGGGGACACATTTAAAGTTTTTGCAATTTTCCGGACTGACTGACCTTCATTTCTTAAAGTAATGATGGCCACTCGTTTTTCTTTAGTTAGCTGATTGGTTCTTGCCATAATATGAATTTTAACAGTTGTCCAATAGGGCTGTCGGCTGTGTATTAACCTGACTTCTGCACAACACAACTGATGGTCCCAACCCCATTGATAAAGCAAGAAATTCCACTAATTAACCCTGATAAGGCACACCTGTGAAGTGGAAACCATTTCAGGTGACTACCTCTTGAAGCTCATGGAGAGAATGCCAAGAGTGTGCAAAGCAGTAATCAGAGCAAAGGGTGGCTATTTTGAAGAAACTAGAATATAAAACATGTTTTCAGTTATTTCACCTTTTTTTGTTAAGTACATAACTCCACATGTGTTCATTCATAGTTTTGATGCCTTCAGTGAGAATCTACAATGTAAATAGTCATGAAAATAAAGAAAACGCATTGAATGAGAAGGTGTGTCCAAACTTTTGGCCTGTACTGTATTTCATATAATATAATCTTTCAAGAGACAGTTGCGATGTATTTTAGAATCATTTCTCTTCCCTCATTCAAAATACTTATACTTATTTTACTTAAGTAACATTTAATATGCAGGGCTTTCACTTGTAATGGTGTATTTGGTAGTGTATTAGTACATTTACTTAAGTAAAGGATTGGAATACTTCCTCAACCACTGCCTTTGTGAGTCAGATTCAGGTCCAAAGTGTCCTATGTAAACACCAGTCTCACTTCCTGAAATAGGTTCTACTCGAAGCACGAGCTTCTAATAAAATGTGCAAGAAAGAAATACGGGAATAGAAATGTACTTGTCAAATGTGGAGTGCAATTGTATGTAATCAGAGAATTTCCTGTTATCCAGATTCAGGCAGTCTTTAAATCTTACTTAACACTTTAAGACACATGTAATACCTGGGCAGAAGTCCATCCACACTGACCATTGATTTTATTTTTATCATGTTGTCTTGTTTTCTTACAATGTAAAGACTAATTTTCAGGTTAGACAGACAGAGTGAACAGCCTTACTCCTCTGTACCTGCACACTAAAATCAAAGCTCACAGCACTTGGAAGAAAAAAACTTAAAAAGAAAAGAAAATCATGTATTAAGTAACTTAACAATTTCAAAGTTGCTTTTTACTTACATAGATATTTTATTACTAAATTATTAATAAATTATACAACTTATTCCACAGCTGCCAGAATTATTACAAATCATAATGTAATATCTGTGCATAATGTAATAATTTAAATGTAATAAAAGCTTATAATGTAATAATCAGCACATAATGTGAGAAAACCATGAGCGTAAGATGTAACCAGAGTTTTGTGCATATTGTATTAAGTTATTACATTATTACATTTTAAACTAAGCAAAAGTTGCAAAAGTTAGTGCATAGTGTAATACTTAAAAAAAGAGAATACTCTCCTTGTCTCAAAGCATAGGAACCCTTCTAGTTGTACATGCTATGAGTGGAGTCTTTAACTGGACTTTGTTTAGTCTGGATGATGTTTTTATTAGATAATGTGTGACAAAATTCAGATGATTCTAAGCATGTGAAATGACTGATCCCTACAAAGTATTCCAGTTACTTTAAATGTTAGCTTGTCCAAGCAGCAAACCACATTACAGTAGGTAACAGTCTACAAAACCGTGTTTCTCACTTTGACCACCAGATGGCTTTTATCAGTGCTTTCATGCTGCACTTGAGATTGAAATATGGTTTATCCTACTAGCCAGCTGGTAAAGATAAACTAGATAAAAGACTGTATTTCTGTCAGAAAGGCTACCATATTCATCACTGTTAGTTAATAATAACAACTATATTTCTGTCAGAAAGGCTAACACATTATCACTGGCAGTTAAAAATACCATTATTTCTTTCAGAAAGGCTAACACATTTATCACGGGCAGTTAATAATATCAGGTATGTTTCTGTAAGAAAGGCTAACACATTTATCACTGGCAGTTGATAATATCAAGTATTTTTCTGTCTAGACTATTCAATTTCAATTCAATTTTATTTATAAAGCCCAGTATCACAAATCACAATTTGTCTCAGAGGGCTTTACAGCATACGACATCCCCCTGACCTTTGGACCCTCACAGCGGATAAGGAAAAACTCCCCCCCAAAAAAACCCTTTAACGGGGGAAAAAATGGTAGAAACCTCAGAAAGAGCAACTGAGGAGGGATCCCTCTTCCAGGACGGACAGACGTGCAATAGATGTCATACAGAACACATCAACATAATACATTTGCGGTATTCCTTATGTCAAAATGAGACATAAGCCCTTTTTAAATAGGAATTGTACAAATTTGCAGGAAAGCCCAATCAGTCTTTTTTCAGCATTGGCAGTATAAAAACAGGATTGGGGACTGCGGCAAAATGCAGCCTACCTACTTTTGTTTATACAGAATGCGCCTTTTTCGGGGCAATGGGGGGCATGAGCAAGTAACAAAACGTGTAGCTCAGTGTGTGACGTAAACAGTGATGTGGGAGGGAAGCCGCGGCTGGTCAGTCCTTCGGCGATTCTCTCGTAAGTCAGCCCGTTCTTCACCATCCCTGTCATCTGATGGTTAATGGCCTCTTCATTTGCAAGGAGGGCGCACAATTCTTTGTCTCCCCAGTTGCTCATCTTTACAGTGTATGTCAGGTTTGTGTTTCCCTCTTGCTACTAGCTGCTTGCTAATACCTGCTATCAGCTGTTTCCTTTTTTATCCACCGCCAGTGGCTCGCACGTACGGTGTCATCAACAGCGCCTCCCACAAGTCTTCAACATCCCCTCCCGTTGCGGAAGGACGCCTAGGTCTGTTTAAACTAAAAGGACTCAGTCAATATGACTACCCTATGAGCTGGAAAATTGGGCACCTCGGATCAACTCACCAATGCTCTGTGTGTGTCTAAACGCTCAGGTTGCTGGCAAAACGGCCCAACATTCGCGGAAAATCTGGCAGTGTAAAAGGGACTATAAAGAGAGACAGAGAGGAATGCAGGACAGATAGTAGACTGTTAGTAGACAGTAGCTTACAGCAACATTAATTTAAGTAATAATATTATAATAATGATTGCGGCTATTGTGGTACAATATGTTGTAAGTATATATTAATATATGATAATATATGTATGTGACAATAATAATCATATGTGTATAATAACAGTTGAAGTATGACTAATAATAACAGCAGCAGTAGGCAGCATCAGGCAGGACCACGGCAGCAGCACAACCACATCACACAATCCAGGCACAGCTGCGACATGAGTTAACCTGCCAGACAGTGGAGCACAAAGGCTCTGGAGAAGAAGCCGAGTTAGTGACATGCAGTAGAGCCGAGTTAGCGAGATGCAGTAACAGGACATGAATGTTAGCAAAGGAGAGAGAGAGAGAGAGAGAGAGAGAGAGAGAGAGAGAGAGAGAGAAGGTGCTCAATGTATTATAGGAGGCAGACAAGGCCTATGTCAGCCTAACTAGGGGCTGGTCCAAGACAAGCCTGAGCCAGCCCTAACTATAAGCTATATCAAAAAGGAAAGTCTTAAGTCTAGCCTTAAATGTGGAGACGGTGTCTGCCTCCCGGGACCGAAACAGGAAGATGATTCCACAGAAGAGGTGCTTGATAGCCGAAGGCTCTGGCTCCTGTCCTACTTTTGGAGACTTTAGGAACCACAAGTAACCCTGCATTCTCAGAGCACAGTGTTCTGGTGGGATAATCAGGGCCGTCGTATAGGGGGGAAAGGTGATGACAATTTTAAGGGCCCACAGCCCACTAGGGCCCACACACAGCCCCCAGTAGCCTCTATGACTAAATTATTATGCATAGACTTAACTAATATATATTCATACTAATGAATCCGAACTAAAACAAAGCCACAAAGTCACACAATATTTTAATTTTAATAATTTCAATAACCCCCTTGGCCCCTTCTTAAAAAATGGTTTGGTCCACACCAAGGTTCACTCTTCATCATGGGAATTAAGTAAGCGAGAGCAAACTCCAGCAGGGAGTGAGGGAAATCAAATAGGCTAGGTGATGGCCCCCAAAAAACACAAATCTGGACACCAGAAAAGACTTGAGAAGGAGGCCAGGAGTAGGAGCAGCAGAGCAGGGGCCCAGGACATCAAACAATTTTTCTCTAAGAATGGTGAGAGTAAAACTACCGAGGGCGGCTGAAACGATTAGCCTACTTGTTCATTCATTTATTGTCTGTAACTTTACCTTTGACGGGCAGGCTGGAGCCTATGTTAGCTGTCTCATCGGGCCGGGCTAAACTCTGGACAAGTCGCCAGTTCATTAAAAAGTCGCCAGTTCATTATAGAGCAACGATTCCTAGTGTAGCTAGCTAACTGAACATTACTAATTTGGAGGCTACTACAGCGGACTGTGTGTTTCACACATATCACTGTCAGACAGTGCTCCACAGTATGCACCCACTCAGAGGCTGCATTGAATTGTATTATGACGCATTCAAGTTCTACTCAGTAATTATGAGCATCATGCGAAGATCAGTTACGTTATCATGATGTGTTCAAATGTGGTCTTGTAAAAATGTGTGGGACGTTTGAATAGCCTAAATACAAAAAAGTTAAATGTTCAAAGATTTGTTGTTGTTGTTTGTTTTCATATCAATATAAAATAAAAGACACCATAATAGCTGACAACAACAAAGTAAAAAGACCATTTAGAATTTTGGACAGTTTACAAGGACTTTTGAATGGTTTAAAAATATTTTTTGCCTGGCAAAGTGAAGCTGTCTGCCTAGAGCTATGGTACTAAGAAGCCCATTTAGATTTTGTGTATTCCAAGACTAGGTTAGTTCTGCAACAGTTTTTCCATGAAACATAACATTTAATGTTTACAATATATATTGTAATATATAATGGAACAATAAACCTTTATGCTCTGCTGCTCCAGAATCAGCAGTGGCTGCTTCGTCTGAGTTTGACCCCGCAGCAGACCCTCACCCCCAGCAGTCCAATGATGCCTTTAATGGTGAGTGAGTGATGTAGACACTGGTTGGTTGTTTTGGTTTATTAGTGAACTGCTGTACCACTGGCAATGACTAAGACATTAATCAACCCCTATTTCAATTATATAATCAATAGCAAAATATAGGCTACATTTTTTTATAACTCAATTTACGTCACTGTTGCTGTTGACAGAGCCAGGCCCAAGTCCCCAAAGCAAGGCTACTTCAGATAGTGAAGAGAATTGTGAAGCAGATCGAAGCTGTTGCAGTCATGAAACTGCTGAAGACAGTCAGAGCACAGGAAGTACAGAAAGACAGGAAAGAGAGAACAAGGAGGAAGAATATTTAAAATGCGACCCAGGATTATGGCCAGAGAAGCTCACAGACCACGATCGTGAGATTATTGTCAAAAAGCTAGCCACAGTCACTCAGACAGACCTGACCTTGATAATGCCAAATGATTCAGAAGGAAGGAAATTTCCAGAGTATTTACAGTATACAAAGTCAACAAATGGACGGGAAAAACAGAAGAGAGACTGGTTAATGTACAGTGAAAGCGCAAGGGCAATATACTGTGTGCCATGCATGTTATTTTCCTGTGATGGCCTAAAAAAACCATCAGCCAGTGCACTTAACACCAAAGAAGGGTACAAAATATCAGATCTCAAATGGCGGAGAATGTACAACAAATTCCCTGACCATGAAGTTTGCAAGGCGCACAAAACCTGCTACCTCAAGTGGAAAAATCTGAGATATTCTTTGATGGAAGCAAAGGGGATAGACAGCCATCTGCAACAAGAAATCCAACTTGAAGTTGAAAGAAACAAAGCTATTCTTGAGAGAATATTAGATGTCACTCGTTTTCTGGCCTCAAGAAATTTGCCATTCAGAGGGAGCACAGAAACGCTTGGTGATGTACAGAATGGTAACTTCCTTGGCACTGTAGAACTTGTAGCCAAGTACGATCCTCTGTTGAATGATCATCTGAGAAAAGTGAAGGAGAAAAGACCAGGCACCAGAGTGACCCATTACCTTAGCTCAGAGTCTCAAAATGAGTTCATAGAACTCTGTGGAGATAGAGTTTTGAAAGAAATACTGAAGGAAAGGGAGTGTGCAATTTATTACTCATTAATATGTGATGCAACTCCTAATGTCTCCCACAAGGAACAGAATGTAATTCTGCTGAGATATGTCGTTCAGAAGGAGAATGATCAGTGGGATGTAACTGAACGTTTCTTGCAGTTTGAAGAATTCAGTGGCAAGACTGGCCATGAAATATCAGAGATGATACTGAAGACGTTAGAGGAGCACCACACTGACATTGCAGACTGCAGAGGCCAGGGCTTTGACAATGGCTCGAACATGTCAGGAAAAGTTAAAGGGGTCCAGGCTGAAATAAGGAAAATAAATCCACTTGCTACATATTCACCATGTGCCTCACATACTCTAAATATTGTTGGAGTACATGCTGCAGAGTCATGTACCGACGTTTCAACATTTTTCGGGTGTTTGAATCACTTGTACAATATCTTCAGTGCCAGCCCAGAGAGATGAAAGATCAAAGAAAAGACTGGCTGCTCCCTTCACCGCATGTCTGATACCCGTTGGAGTGCCCGCATAGTGGCTGTTAAACCAGTTGCAAATCACTTACCATCGCTCATAGAGGCCCTGGATAGCATCCTTGCTAGATGCAGCTTGACTAATGAAGTCAAATCAGAGGTCACTGGTCTGAGGAGTTATTTTACATCTTTCAAAGCCATTGTTCTCCTGACTGTCTGGAAAAAAATACTGCAGTCCATTGAAGACAGAAACATAATTTTGCAGTCAGGAAAAATTACACTAGATGTGGAAGCAGCCAACATAGAGGCACTGAAGGAAGAAATGCAGGTCTTTCGCGACTCATGGGATGACTTCCTTGCAGAGGCTTCCCTCATCGCAGAAGCTACGGATGTTCCCACTGGATTTCCAGTCAGCCACAAGCGAAAGAGAAAACGTTTTGCAGATGAGAGTCAGTGGTCAGAATAGGGAAACCAACAGGAGACAGAATCAAATCTGTTTCGAAACAATGTTTTCTATGTGGCATTAGATAACATCATCTCTGCCTTGGACAGCCGCTTTCAAGCCATTGCAAATATCTGTGATGAATTTGCTGCAATACTGAAAATCAAGGATTTAAAAGATGATCAGATTCACTCAGTTTGCCATTCATTAACAAGCAAATACAAACAAGATCTTAGTGCTAATTTTGAAAGTGATGTGCAACATTTGAGGTCTGTTCATAGTGCCACATTTTCAGACTGCCATTCTCCCCTTGAACTGCTGAATTCCATCTATAAACTTCAGCTCCAGAGCATTTTTGGTGAAGTATGTGTTGCCATCTGAATCTTCTGTACATTACCTGTGACTGTTGCAGGTGGAGAAAGGGCATTTAACAAACTAAAACTAGTTAAAAACTATCTCAGATCCACAACAACCCAAGAGAGGCTAAATAGCCTTGCTAGACTTTCAATTGAAAGTCAGCTAAGCCGACAGTTGGACTTCAAAGACCTCATCAGTGACTTTGCCAACAAAAAGGCCTGGCGTTGGGCTTTCTGATCAGACTGACAGTGAACAAACAAGCCAATTTAAACCTAAATTGAGATTAGATGAGGCTTCTTTTTGATATTTATTTTACAACAACGTATTTCATGTGCTGTTTGTTTTACTTGCACATTTAAGTTAAATGCTACATATCTACCTTGGGCTTCACCTTGTGGACTATCTTGAGCCAGGATGTTTTTTTGCATATCAGTGCTTGATTGTTACAATAAAATACCCACTACCTATTTGTTGAGTGGTTAATTGAAAATGTATTTGCAATCAGAGGTGTAATAACATGTTGCAAATCAGAGAAATGGGAATAAGACAACTAATAATACATAATTTACATAATAATACTCCGACTTGTTGATGGGTTAATTGTAAAAAAAGAAAAATTGGGTGTATTACACCAGGCACCATCAAGAACACTGAAAAACAGAAAAATGAAGAAAAACATCATAATACACAGTTGTAAAAAAAGTGGCAATGAATGGGGTAGAGGGGCCCACACTGATATTCTTTCAGGGGGCCCAGAATTCCTAGCAACTGCCCTGGGGATAATATGGCACTATGAGCTCCCTAAGATATGATGGAGCCTGACCATTTAGAGCTTTGTAAGTTAGGAGAAGGATTTTAAATTGAATTCTGGATTTTACAGGGAGCCAGTGCAGAGAAGCTAAAACAGGAGAAATGTAATCTTGTTTCTTAGTTCTTGTCAGTACACGTGCCTCCGCGTTCTGGATTAGCTGGAGAGTTTTCAAAGATGTCACATTTATTACTTACAATTGATAATATCAAGTATAGTTCTGTCGGAACGGCTGACGCATTCCATACTGGGAAAACATTATTATTATTGATTAAACATTTACCAGTTTTTAGGCTCTCATATTTCTTATCAACTGTACTAATCCTGTATGTTGCATTGTGATTTACTGTCCACTCAAATGAAGGACTTCTTGATCATATTGAATCAAAAAATTAAGGATGCATGAACTGCTTTTTTTTAATATCTAATCTATACAAACAAGCACAATTTTAGGTTTCCTTTTAAAACCACTTACTACCTTTTAAATAATTCAGCCAGTAAGAAGAGAAAGATTGTAAAGGTTATCCTCCTTGAAATAATCAGTGGTATAAGACTGTAGTGTCCCCCACAGCCCTCATAGTGAGCCACACCTCTCCTGTACCACTTTATCAATTGACCAACTTTGATACTGTTTACTGTACTCATTTTTCCATGTGCTACCTGAAATTGTCCCTCCCAGATTACTAAAAGATGCCATTTAAGTTATCGGACCATCAATGCTTGCTGTTGTGAACCAACCAAATAACCATTATTCCTTCAAAGTGGCCACAGTTCAGCCCCTTCTAAAGAAACTGCACCTTGATCCTTGCACACCAACGAACCGTACATCTACTTCTAAGCTTTCTTTAACAGTAAACATTTGTGATAAAATAATATGCAAGCAACTTCTGCAACTTAATAGCCCCTTTTACACTGCCAGATTTTCGGTGAATGTTGGGCCATTTTGCTGGCAAGCTGCGAGCGTTTAGACACACAGAGTCAGATTGGCGAGTTGATCCCTCTAACCCTAACCCAAAAGTAGGCAGGCAGCATTTTGCTGCACTCCCCGATTTTGTTTTTATGCTGCCAATGCTGAAAGGAGACTGATTGGGCTTTCCTGCAAATTTGCACAATTCCTATTTAAAAAGGGCTAATGAAAAAATACATACTTGATGAATACCAGTCAGACTTTTAACAAAAAAACAGCTCTGCTGAGGGCCACAAACCTTTGTGCGGCCTTTGACTCAGTTGATCACACAATTCTGACTGATTTGCTAAAAAATGGGTTGAGATATCTGGTGTAGCACTAAAATTGTTGTGTTCTTTTTTATCCAACCAGAAGTTTTTTGTGTCCACCAATGACAAACATGACAAACACCTGTCTGGACTGTTCAAATGCTATTTATTTCTGCCTTAGCCAAGCCACTGTTACAGTTAGTCCAAAACTCTGCAGCAAGACTTCACACGAACCCGCAAAATTCAGTAGGGTTCTACTCCTTAAGGGCAATAAATGCATTAGCCTCTCTGACAGAAATACAGTTTATATACCAGTGATAAATGCACTAGCCTTTCTGAAAAAGTATTATTATTACCTAATATCATTCACTTTTCTCAACACAAAAAAACGTGGTTTATCATACTAGTCATACTAGCCAGTGATAAAATATGGCATATTGCCTGGATCGGCTAACATTTAAAGTAACTGGAGTAATTATGTATACAACAATTATATCACATGATAAGAATCATCCAAATTAAATTCAGCATCATCTCTGTGAAGGTTCCTCTTTTTGTCCTGGCCACTGGATATCTTAAAGTCCTTAGTTTTTCATACTGTAAAAAATAATTAACGTGGCTACTGTGACACGTCCATTGGTTCGTGGATTCCAGTTTTGAAGCCTTGAGTTCTGCATTTCTGCCGTTACCATCGTGTTTTTTTTTTTTTGTTTCTGGGAGGCAGAAGTGACCATATTTGGGCGACACATTGGCGCTGTGGAGGAACGAGGGTTGGTTTCGACTGAGAAGCTGAGCTCACTATCATCAGACAGCCTGTCACTTATTGCAGCCCGCTCTTAATTATGTGTAACTTTAAGCCTTTAGAAAATGTGAACCGGAGAGTTATATCAAATTTCACCTCCTGTACAGTTGTCATGAATATTGAAATTAGCTATAGAGACCAGTACTACTTTTTGTACCAGACTGTAAACATGGTTATTTCTGCTATAAAGCTGGACATTTTAACATGGAGGTCTCTGAGGATTGACTGGCTTCTGGAGCCAGCCTCAAGTAGCCATTAGAGCAGGGGTCTGCAACCTTTGCCATTAAAAGAGCCATTTTTTGACCAAGAATAATTTGAAAAAATCTGTGTGGAGCCGCAAAACATGTTTGAGCCTTATAATCAAGGTAAATAGCCAATTAAGTCTAAATTAGAATATACTTATGGTCTAAATAAGCATTTGTTAATATGTTTTACCACAAGATGGACACTGTGCAGGGCACTATTTATGATTATTTGGTACTTAAATTTTGCAGAGCTGGCAGTGAGAGCAAACAAATCTGTCCACGCACTACTACATTCTCTATTTTATTCAATTTACTTTTTTGGATTTGGCATCCATAGCTAACCAGCCACTGCTATAGAGGTTCAGCAACATATGGATTCATAGAATGAATTTCCATAGAATTCTTTTCTCAAAGGCTCAAGGAGCCACTGGACAGGGGCTAAAGAGCCACATGTGGCTCCGGAGCCACAGGTTGCCTACCCCTGCCTTAGAGTAACTGCAGTTTTTGGCACTTCTCTGCTGGCTTCACTTTTTCAGCCCCAGAGGTTGCTGCTTGGAATTCTGTCACACATCCAAGAGGCTTTGTCAGTTTGAAACTATTGAAAATGTTTTCCAGACGAACGAGACAAAGTCCAGTTGAGCAGGTTGTCCAGTAATCAGAGGATTGCTAGTGGCGTTCCCACTTTCTCCAGAGCCTTCATGTGTAAGACAAGCCATAAAGGGTGACATGTTTTAGCTAGTCTTTTGTTAGGAATCTCAAGATTCCTTTAAACATGTTCGGGCCCTTTACCTGTAACATTTTTTTACCTCATGATGTAGCCAGTAATCTTAATGAAAGACCTCTTAATTACATTTCAACATTTCAGAGAAAACTACATCAACATCTAAGTCATGTGTTCGTGAGATGTTATGTATGTTGAAATGGAGCCAGCAGGGTTTTTTATGCAAAATCATCTCTGTATACATGCAGGTAGTTGCTACAGCAGAAGAAACATACGATTACAGGAGGAATACATAGTCAGTGGAAACCAGGAAAGCACATATGTGCAGCATTCACAGTAAATCAACCATAAATCACATTTTTGTGTTCTAGACTCAATCTCTACCAGGTATTAACATGTGATCTGTATCTGAGTATGTTGAGATAAAGACAACTGATGACTGACCTCTGCATTTACATCCACTGTTAATCCATTTTGCCTGCATTGGGATCAGATCTCAGTATTCCTTTTGGAGGAACTGGCAGACTTCTCAACAAACAAAGTACAATATATCTCAGGTTAGAGTTGCTACAATTGATAGTTTTACAATTATGTATCAAATGACAAAGTAACAGTGTAATACCATAAAAGGGGCCGGTCGCCCTGATTAAACTACTAATCAATGGAACCTGCAGCTTTCTTTGGTTTTATGGAGCTTTATGGCTCTCTTGCATTACCTGCTCAGCACCATGTGACAGACACAGCTGAGAGCTAGCTGGTGAACTTACTGGAGCATTTAGCAGCTAAAGGGACAGTTTTCTACCTCAGGAGCTGGTAGAGATTAAAACAGAGTTAAAAGAGTATGAATATTAAATCCACCAGGTGTCCAGAAACACAACTGCAAGATGTGTAAATAAGCAACTGGTATCTAACACATTTAGAATGCCAACTCAAAGGGAAGCTAATATGTAATTATATTTACAACTTGTTTCTGCTGCCCCCAGTGGCTCAAAACATGTTATTGCAGGTTTGAGGAAAGTGATGAATGATTCTCTCGAGGGACAGTTAGAATGTGCAAACGGACACACTGAGACAGCTGAAGACATCTGCAGGCTACTTTTCAGTCACTGAGCTAATTAGGCAAAAATTGTTCACACTGTAAAGGCCCTGACACACCAAGCTATCAGTCCGCCATCAGTGTGTGTCCATGGCCCATGGTGTGTCCTGCACCATTGGCCCTTGTTGGCGCTAGTCAGCTTTTTTCCCGCCAATTACGCGTGTTGAATCAGCATCAGCGACAGCAGAACCCATCGGTGAATAAAATCACTCTGATTGTCCGTTCAGCTCAGCACAAGAGAAGAGAAGAAGGAATTTAGGAGAGAAACAAAAAGCTAAGATAAGCTTTTTGACAATCATCTTTAGTTAGGGCATGATTCCTATCAATATGGCCGAACTGTGCGGATGTCATTTTTACACATCTCTGAAACACATTTCAAAATGAAAATGGAAACCGTGAACAATAAACATGCTTCAGATTTTGATCTCACAGAGAGCAGTGCAACAGCACGTCATTCAGGCTTGATTCATCTGACTTTGATAAAGTGGCCAAAGAGCATGTAAACTACAGCAGAACCAGTGATCATGCAATACCTTTAAGAATTAAAGTCTTGACACACCAAGCCGACAGTCAGCTATCGATCAGTGTCGGTCCGTTGGTGAGCACCCATGGCCCTCGTCTGCTTTCTTTTGGGTGATTCAGCATGTTTAATCAGTGTTAGCGAGAGTGGAGCCTGTCTGTGAATGAAATCCCTCTGTTTGTCAGTTCAGCTCAGCACAGGAGAAGAGAAACAGCAGTGAGGAAAGTAAACAAAGAGCTAAAGTTCAGAGGGAGTGAGACCAAAACAAACTTGTTCCAAAAGGTCAGATTATTTTATTCTTAAGCCACTGAGCTCTTTAAGCAGAAAGGTTCCCTGGTGGTTTGTGTTACTGTTCACTGCCGCACAGTAAATATGATCTATTCTTTCAACATTTTGTTGTCACTAGTCGGTTTGGTGTGTCTGGGCCTATAGACTGTAACTGTGATGGCACTAGTTCTCTGAAGTCAGTTTGGTGTGTCTGGGCCTTTAGACTGTAACTGTGATGGACTATTTGACCACTAATGGGATCAAATACCCAGTCAGTTTTGTGTTCTGTGATTTAAATTCAGATCCAAAGTCTCCTTCTGGGCACTGTTTTGGCAACTGGTAGTCCAACATTCTGTTAAGACATTTCTTTTCTCTGTTGTAAATTATCACAGGTTGTCCTGAGTGCACACCATCTTGGGTAGCACAACATGATTTTGCCAAGAAGGACATGCTGCTGGATCAACATCCCACACTGTATTCCTGGACCAACATTGCAATCAACCAGTCACAGCCTTCGGACATCATCAGTATGTTTAAATTTGAACAGTTGAACAAAATCCAAACAAAACGTTACTGCAAGGTTAATGAGTTTGCCAATAGACTAGAATATTGTTCACTACATTAAGAGTAGTTGCAGAGACCTGTAATGGACATATTTTCTCTCTTTTTCCATAGCACCTTCAAAACTTTTTTTTTTTTCTTTTGCAAAATTGCAGTGCTAGTGTGATCCAGGACCATCAGCATCATCTTCTGTGTATTTTGTTTAGGCTGATCTAGGGCCATCATCATCAGAATTAGAATCAGAGTCAGAAATACTTTATTGATCCCTGAGGGGAAATTATTTGCTTTACAGGTGCTCCTTGCAAGAGTGGAAAGATAAGTGAAAATATAAGAAATTTAACAAGAGTATTTACAAATATATAGTTCAAATAAACAGGATTATTAACAAAAAATAAAGTATGTGTGTATATATATATATATATATATGTGTGTGTGTGTGTGTNAAGAGGTTCAAGTCCAGAGGTTAAGCCACAGTGTTGCTGAATGCTTCAGCCCTTTGTCATGTGGACTTTGGAACAGGTTTTTCCCAGGACCTCTCCGTATTAAAATACATTCATCCCTACCCCATTCTGATCTTGCAGTACCCGCTGCTGGACATTTGACTTATATATATATATTATATAAAAAAATACACAGAATATATACAGTCAAGGTGAAATGGGGTTATCATCACGTTGACCCTGGATTGTTTGTCCATGTTGATCCAGGACCATCATGGCTTTGTGTTCATGTTGACATACACAAATTATCCATAATCAGTGTGGTGATGATGATCCCGAATAAGCACTGCAATCTTGAAGATAAATTAATAGATAGATAAATAGTAAGGGTTTTAAGAAGCTCTAAAAAGGGAAGGAAATGTGCTAATCACAGGTATTTTCATGGAAAAATTATATTATCAATACTCTTTGTTGATGAACCTACTCAGCAGAAAACTAGCTATTATTGTAGCCTATTGGCAAGCTTACTTGTTAGCATAGCCTACCTCTTCTAGCTCTGAAGAGGCACAAAGGAATTTTGAAAGAAGTACACACTGATGATGTCAGAGGGCTGTGATTGGTTGATTGCAATGTTAGTCCAGGAATGCAAAGTGGGATGTTGATCCAGGAAGATGCCCTACTTGGCAAAATCACGCTGTCTTGCATGATTTATTGACTGGTATAACAAAATAAATGTAAAATAATACATGTAAGATGGTTATGGTTATTTACTCACGCTAATCTTAACCATTTTACATGAGTTGTCAAGACTAAACCCATGAAACTGCACCCAGTTAGTTTTTGTATTTCACCAGCATTAAAATTATTAATACAAACACCTTGTTGTTTCTCTGTGTGTTTCTCACACAATTAAACACACACACACACACAGGCTCAGGTTTCAGCAGTTTTATGCAAGTTATTTAAAATTTCCACAGCAGATATAAGTGACTCTATAAGCATCTGTTCTGTAAATTGATATATCTTTTTTAACATACTGTAATAAAAAAACATTGTTTTGTGGTTGCATACAAATGCTTTCTATGGTATTATATTTGTGTCCTAATCCTGAGTGCACAGTGGGATATTTTGAGATTTAACATACATAAATTATGTTTTGTAGACATAGTATTATCATAGACAGACAGTTTTAATTTAAGCACAGAAATCTGTCCTGTGCTTAATGAAATTTGAAAGTGTTAAAAGGGCACATTTACCTCAAATTTCCTGCTCACAGTCAGTGGTAATGTGCATGTTTGTTAATAAATATGCAATTAGATTAATCTTTTACAAAATACTTTTGGTGCTCAAGATGTCCCATTGCATGCTCAGAATAGAAACACATACAACTTCATAACATTTCAGTTTGGTTCGACTCTGATATATTCTTCACTCCTATAACGTCTGCATATACATTTTTTCATACCATTTTAGATCAAACATACAGGAGCATTAAAAACAATGCCTAATGAACGTCTGTGAATCAAAGACACTGCAGTGTTAATCAATCCAGTATGATGGCACCACAGATTTTTTAGTGGGCAGTTGTATTGTTCCATACAAGGTTTAGCTCTTATTTTCCCTGATCTACTGTAGTTCTTCCTTTCTCCTTCAGATTTGTGCAAAATGTCAAAACAAAATCAGACTGAGCCATTTTATAGACTTATGGACTGATTAGTAAAGCACTGTTAGCTAAAATCAGTTGTCAGCTTACCACTGTCACTATTGCTGTGTTGAACAGAGAAACAGTAGACAACGATACACAGCATCTTTTATTATTGAAAGACAACACACTTTCTTCATGGCTCCATGAGTGAGAAGCTTTCGCTGCTGCCATTGTTTGCATGTCTGTTACGTCACTTGCCTGAAGCTGTGCCTGCGCAAGAAGTCAGCAGCGCTTAATAAGCAGGATAGGATGTATGCTGTTGGGAGGGTTGCTTTTATTTATTTTTGATCTTTTTATCTTTTATTTTTTATTTTTTCCATTACAAAGTTTTCAAAGCGAGCAACAGAAATAAACACAAACAGGCCATCTGACAAAATTTCAGCTCAAAACGGCAGCACTGGACAGACTTTACCTGTATTCAGAATACCACAAATTTAAACTGTAATGGAATAAAATTATCCATATTTTGTATTTTAAATATGTTACACTGCAACTTGTATTCCATTACCCCCAACCCTGACATGCAACAGTGTCCAAGTTTCTTTCAGAGTACTTCAACTAGTATATTCAGGTTTCTCATAACTGGATGTGGGCTTATTCAGGTTTCTGAAATCGGTATATGGTGTTTACATACTCACATAACACATAAAGGGAATACTACAAAAACCTGATCATAAACGGGTTATTTATGTCCATGCAAATGCACCTTAATGAGACTATTTTCTTTTTAAGGTAAAACACTAATAGTGAGGTCAGCTCTGTAACTAATTTGTAAAATTAGGTAGTTAAAACCCCCTGAAACCCTTGCATGGGTTTCAGGGGGTTTGGGTTAAACTGACCCTATAATAACTTTCATATCTGATCAGTAATGTGATAGAAAAATAATAGAAATTTATTCAAAAGTTGTCCTGTGAACCACCATGTTAAAGGTGGAACACCTTGACTGGCTGACACCTGATTTTAATTAAAGGCTAACATCTGTGTGCCTTAAGAGCCTTACTTTGTTTCCTTTGGCCTCCTCGCAAGCAGCTCCCAACAGCTGTGTTTGTCATTCTACCACCTTCTGCCTCCTTCTGATGACTGCTGTGATGGGTCCTGTAGGTAAAGCCTTGATTATGTTCCAGGCCTCAAAGCGAGTCATGTCCTGCAGACTAATCCCCTGGACCTGCAGCAGTTCATCTCCAGGCTGCAGACTGCTCTGCTCTGCTGCTCCACCTGAAACACACACAAAAACACAGGCCAAGACTGTTTGGGCTGGGTATCTCTTGTAATATTAACAACAACTGCTAACCTGGGTTTCAGTATGGACAAGGATCTAACCTTTTAGGGCCCTGAGCACTGAACAGTACAAGGACCCTATTGTAATGCAAGGAATTATTTTTTGTAGGGCCTGAGCACCGGCTGCAAGCAATCACAAAGGTGCTCTTGAAACCCTCATTCACCAACCACTCTCATTTATATCCACTCCCGAGACTTCTGAATAGGCCTATAAAAGGTCTGCAGTCTTGGACAGAGGAAAGAGAGGATCACCTCATCAGTTTGTTTTGAGGAACAGCCATGTCTGTATGACACAAGCTTTGAATTTATTTTAGTCAAGCACCAACCTCCGGGGGGGGAGTTTTTCTAACTCTTCTGTTTATTAAGGTTTGAAATTGCGCATAATTAAGGGCGTGGTCACTTTGAGTGACAGGTCGCACCATCACGGGTAGCTAACTAGCATGCTAACTAGCCGCTGGCTCTGCTGTGTGTCTCAGACTCGGCCGTCTGCTCGGCGTCGTCTCAGCCAATTCGTGCCCATGTTCAAGGCATTGAACCTGTCCTCTCAGCCGTGTTTGTGCCTTTTGGATATTTTTTCAGGCAAATATTGGAGTAATATGGCTTGCGGTTCGATTAATTATACCAACAGACCGTCCAAGATGGCTGTGCTCCAGGTTTTTCGGTAAGTGAAAATCGGAAATTCTAGTATTATTTTATTTATGTTTATATGTTAGCACTAATTAGCGGGTATCGGTGTCTATGGTCACACAGTCACCACCTAGCTTGTCAGCAGCGTGTATCGGTGTCTGCGGTCACCACCTAGCTTGTCAGCTTATTATTATATTATTAAGCCTTTATTTAATACATGTAAAATCACGCTGATACCAGAGGTCTCATTTTCAAGTGCGACCTGTATCACAGCACCAACATCCACATCAAGTTATAGAGCCACAGACAATACGATACAGCACAAGCTTAGCTCGTTAACTAGCTAACCAGCCAGCTAACGGTTAGCCTTCAAGCAAGACGCCGGGATGCATCGAAGTCAGACCCTGACAGAGAAGTGTTAGGCATTTAGGGAGAGAATATTTTGAACAAAAGGCTGAGGCTGTGTGAGGTTTGAAAATAAAGGTCCACCACGTTAGTTAGCTAACGTGATGCAATGTTAACGTTGTCATATGAGCAGTGTAATGTTAACGTAACATTAAGGCTATACTTGTGTATGTAAATTAAAAAGTGGCAAACTGTGTGAAATTACAATAAGGTGTGTAACGTATAAAAAAAACTAATGTGACATTTGACTGTCACATATAAAATATTAAGAAGACTAGTGTATGATATAGGCCTGTAGTTACACAACAATAGATAATGCACAGACAGAATATGAGGACTGTGATGGCCACCACCTTTTTGTTTTGCTAAAATAAATTATGATCTGTTGAACATTGAAGTAATTTAAGGCGTATTGTTTGCATGTAAAGGTGTCTGTGAAGTAGGTAGCTAACACATATATTACTTTTAATATCTATTTGTCTGTGTAAAGTTTTCCTCTAGGTGACCCAGACAGACTGGACCAGTGGACACTCAACACGAGGAGACAGAACTGGACTCCAAACAAGACTTCCCATCTGTGCAGTGAACACTTTGAGAGTCATCACTTAAGCACTGACTCTAGGATAAAGACACCTTTTTTCATACAGTACCTCACATAGAGTCAAGAAACTTATTAGTTTAAAATGATGAATTATTGTCCATAATACATTTAAATGCATTACATAAATTACTAATTGTCATACATTACTAAGTACTCGACTAGGGCACAGCCTGCTCTGTACTATTACTGATAAGGTGAAATTACTGACACACCAGTGCAGTTTAGTGTTCCC